ATTGTTCTGTAAATGAATGCATTGCAAAAACAGGAACTCCATCGAACAAAGAACTCAATTTATCAGCCAACCAATTATTAGGTAAATAAAGGCTTATGACATCAAAACAACATTGTTTTTGGCAATTTCAATGTTCTGTATGACCGCTGATTGACTTTGACTGGGCATAATGTATGCCACAAGGGGAATAGAACATGATCTTTATGCTTGAAAGATTATATTGCATATCTGACTAGTTAATGTTTCTTTTCCATCTAGCAAAAAGAGATTTTTTTTTATATAGTAATAAAATAAATAAATCACTTTCAACTGGAAATAAATAGATAAAAATACAATAATAATAAATATTTTTGAAATAAATAAATAATCATCTATCTATAAAAATCATAAGAATCATATTAATAATAATAAATATAATATAAAGTCTAATTATGTAATGAATATATGTGTAATGTTTTAAAAATATAGAATGTATTGTTACTTGCTGGCTAAATCCACAATCAATTATTTTTATATTCATTTTTCACTTTTTTATATTATCATTGCAAGGAATGATTTAAATGTAATTAATAATTAACCTCTTTACCAATAACCCATAACCGATTAACTATTAATTAATTAAATAACCACTAACATCAATAAAAATTTAACCTAATATATATATATATTATATATATTAACACTCTACCACCAAACCTAATAATAATCAAAATAATAAACCAGAACTGGTGGTATAATAAAAGAATAGATGCACTTATTCTTCCATAGGTTTAATTATCTGAGAGTTAGGCCTACCAAAACGAAATCTATCAAGGTCTGGTTCATTGTTACTATTACTTCTCACTCTTCTAGCAAAAGACATTCTTTTCAACGCCAACGGCTCGTTAAGCTTCGCTGTGGGGTCTTCGATCCTGAGCCCTGATTTCGGGATGAAGCTGATGTTCGTCTCATAAAAACTGGAACTACCAAAGGCTTCACTTGTTGGGCTGGTTGGGGTGTCTCGTCCTCCTCCTCCTCCTCCTCCATAGCCGCTTGGCTCAGTTTCATCAGTTCGGATAAAAGATCGGGCTTTGGGGATAAACTTTTGTTCCAGGTTAGCGTGTTCTGTTGTGGCAGAATGAATTGGAGAGTGACATCACTGTTATCTATAATTGTCATACACAATAACAATAACAAACAACGACAAATGTCAAAAAATGATAAAAAAAAATAAAAAAAAATAATATTTCTCTCTTTTCAGTGAATGAATTTTGAAGGTGAGTGGTAATCCAAATTCAATATATATATATATATATATATACATATTTTCGAGTGTGTTTGGAAGGGGGTAATGATAATCTATCTCTTTCAGACAAGTGTAAATAATGAATGATATACGTACCAATTAGGAATCTTTTATATTATTTAAAAAAAAAAAAAAAGAATAGAAGAAATTTTTAATTATTAATAATTAACACAATCAAAAACAAAAATTCAATATTAAATTTTGCATTTGCATTTGTTAGTAATAATGATAATGATATAAGTGATTAGTAAAAATAGCAAGTATAATGCTGCTGAAGTAATACAGCTACTTGTGTTCTTAATTTCTCACTTCTCTTTTTTTGTATATGTATATATATATGTCACCTACTTTGACAATTCAGCCCATCCTCCACCAACTCTGACCATTACCATCCTACTTCTTAAAATACGACAAAAACAAAGTTTAGGATCAACCTCTCCAAACGTGTATTTGCCATGTTCACCTTCCACCATGGTAACTTTTATTTTCACTGGGCATGAATTAACAATTCTTGCTACTTCAACATCCAATGGGTCTTTTACATCAGGTATATAATTATTAACTGTATGTGGTACTAATCTTATTTGTGGTCTTCTTGGTGATCCTGGT